CTCTGGAAAAGACCCTGATGTTGGGAAAGTGTGAAGGCAAGAGAAGGGGATGACAGAAGACAAGATGGATGAACAGTGTCATAGAAGCTACCAACATGAATTTGACATAACTCTGTGAGGCAGTGGAAGACAGGAGGGCCTGGCATGCTCTGGTCCATGGGGTCACGAAGAGTCGGATATGACTTAACGACCAAATAACAACAAGTGCTGCTCCAAAATCCAAACCTCTTCTTGCAGAGCTTTCTGTCTACTGAAGCTCAGTCTCACAAGTCTTCTGGGTGTTGTCTGCCACTCATTTTCTCCATACTCACTCATAAAGGATTCCTTCCATAAGACGTAGCCTATCTCTGTTGTAAGTGCCACAGAACGTTATCTCTAGTGGCAACTTGCGTAGAACTGTTAGGTGGCATTCAGTGACACATACGCCTACTGGATTATTTCCCTGGTGGACCTGGAACTCTTTCTATGGCAAGGATAGGATACCTGCTCTACCACAGAATCTCTCCTTATAGCCATTCTGGTTTCTTCACTAATTATTAACTCCTTAACTAGGGCTATTTGCTCTGGACCAACCATTGGCCTGCTTGACCAATCTTATCTTCTGTTGTGCCCAGATGTAAAGATTTTACCTGACCATGATAGTTTTAGGCACTTTTACATTTAAGCTGCAGGCCTAGCTAAAAAAAAAAGTGTCCCTATGTCCCTTCTAGGTGGTATAACCCAAAACGGAAAAGGTGAATCTTCACTCATTAAATGGAAGTTGCATCTTCTTCCAATATTTAAGTGCTGGTGAGGAACCCCATATAAGTTTTAAAGAAAGTATTACTTGTATTAAAGTATTAGCAAGGAATATAGAAAGGAATTCCTGTGAGAAAGTATATTACCTGAAGTATAATGTTCATTTTTAAAGAGTTAAGCATGGTTAAGTTTAACTGTGCCCACCTCTCCTAACTAAAGGTATTCCAGCAATTAGTTTATTAAAATTTATCATTTATCAGAAATGATAATGTTTCATAGGGTTCTCTCAGAAATTAAACTTCAAGATATGTAGTAACAACGGCACTGGCAAAAATACCAATCTGCAAATACAGACTGTGACATGTTGCACACACATACAGAGAGAGAGAGAGAGAGAGAGTTCTCAGTCCACTTTGTTCATCGTTCATCTTTTCTGATCTGAAAGGAGGGGTGGTGCAAAGGCAACTGAGGGTGCTGCTACAATGGAGAAAATGTGGGAAATGCTATGGTTTGGGGGCAGGTTGATTTACAATTT